AGGAGGAGGAGGAGGAGGAGGATAGAGATGATGGGGACGATGGCGATGACGAGGGCGATGATGATTATAAGGAAGAGGAGGAGGAAGAGGAAGAAGAAGTTTTACTGTAAAGGGACGATATGTCCGCCAAAGGAAACAACTACTTAATGCAGCTACTTAATCACGTACTCGCTGTGGTTCGCAGGTTGTTCTGCGCGTACGGAGAGACTGCGTGACTGATGAATTAAACTCTGGGATATTCCTTGAGCATACCAGAAAATGTAGGAATCTTGTAAAAGAGCCCTCAAAAGCGCATGCCAGATTGTGACAAATGCCACACCTGGAGAAGGCGATATCGACGTTTTACTTAGAGAGCTGCTCATCAGTCTCCTCCGAAGTTTGTTGTTGCCTTCCGGAAAGAAATACTCTCATTCTTGTCATTACAACAAATAGTAAAACAGTAGTTCAGATGGCATGTGGACGCTTTAGTTGCGTGTCTGCATGCGCATGCAGGAGCACACAATAGGATATTTGAGCGTACATTAACAAACAAATGAAGCACACCTTAACATAAGTTGTAAGTTAAAGACGAATGTGAAGTCCCAGCTTGACAGGCACAAGTTGGAATTCAATACAGTATCTTCGACCAGTGTGGCTACTAAGCTAAGAAGACTTCAGAGTAATTAGGGACGCCGAGTTATGCCACCCTATTACACACGTGGTAGGCAAGGAATACGATGGGATAATTAGAAGCAGTCAATGATCTCTGGTAAGACAAGGATAGGTTGTTTGGTTTGGGTGGGGATTGATATGAGCCGTTTTGTGGGCAATATGTGCGAAACTGCATGCAGCTGGCAGGTTGACTGGCTGCCGTCCACGAAATTATTCTGCGCGTAAAAGACCGGTTCACAATCTAACCCTTACGAAGCCATGTTTGAAGGCTTTCACATATGCCTTTGGGTGGGTACCGACTAGTGCAGCCAACGTAGGCTGCTTCACAGGAGCACAAACGGATGGTTTAAGTTGGCAGCTTATCCTTATCTCGGTATAGAATGTGGTGGGTTGATAATAGTTCCCAGAATCTTTTTGTTATGGAGATCTGTGAAACGGTCGGGTAGAGGTGTCTTCTCAGTGTTTCAATCAACTTGTCCCCTTCAAATGGAGTTTTAAGAAATGACCCTTTCCCTTCGGTTATCATTATGGTAAGTCCTTTTGGTTCTTTTGTTAGTATTCTTCACCGTAAATCGATCAGGATACCCGTTCTCTCCAAGCATGTTCTGGTCCTTTCCAAGCTCCTCCACAACACCATCTGTTAACAAAATATTCCAGCGCTTTGTGTCAAACAGCGGTCTAAACTGAGTTTCTGAGTCAGGGGTACGACAGTTCTAAATTTCATGTATTTTCCAGACTAGATATCTCTCCGACAGATTTTTTCAAAAACCACTATCTGGAGGACGTCCGCAAATGAGAGTTGGCCTGCCCTTCCATCTCTAGGTGAACTTTGTCGACGACTGCAACGTCTTACTCCTCAGGTCCCATGCTCAGTCCTTGTCAGTTTGATTGCCCGTAACCAGGGTGTTGAAGGTATTTCAGTGTGGTGCTAAAGAAACAATAGATTATTCAGCTATGAATTTTGCTCAAACACTTTGCCGTTGTCAGACAAACTGACAGCAAAGAATGGGCGGCTTGTGTAGGAGGTTGAGGGTTCTAGTCCAGCTTGCAAATTCGTTGATGCGAGGAGGAGGCGGGGCTTGGACTGATGCTTGCCACGGAAAATAGTTGGCGGCAGGCCCACGAGAAAAGTAGACATCGTCGTGTCGTTGTGGGCTGGTGGTTTGAAGGTGAGGGAACTGATGCTCGTCGGGGTTGACATCAGGGCTTAAACAGTCTAAACAGGACCCCCCACCTCCATGAACTCTTGTGCTTATTCGACAGGTGCCCTAACGACACACGAGAAGACGGGTTGTCTGTTAGCCTAGCTATTGGCTACCCGGCGGCGGATAGTGGAACAGCCTTTAGTGAAGGTTAGTTGCGAAATAAGCAGACCAGCGGACCAGCAGCGACAGTGCTATCAGGGTGCGGAGGGCTGAGGTCTGGTACACTGAAGGCCTTATAAAAGCCGCAAAGCCCAATGACGGCATTGTGACATGGCGACCGTAAACTGCCATTAAATAAGTTTGCTTGCCACCGCTGCCTTGTGGTTAGGCTTTTATGCCAAAGCGCTAGAGGAGACAAACTCGAACAAACATTCCGAGCGGCTTTTGGGGACCTGCCTATATCCGAAATTAACAAGAAACCCCATGCAATATGACCGACAACAGTACTACGACCCAAGCTACGGCGTCCGCGGGAACCTATGCGCTCCGAAAACCTGGTCCAGTGGTGCGAACGAATAGTATGCGAGCTAGACTACTCAATCAGGGGCGGACTCTTGGTATTGGATACTGGAATGTGCGAACTTTCGTGAACCCCGGTGTCCAAAGTCTGACCGCGCGCAGCCTTGATTAGTACGACGTGGATGTCTGCTGTCTGTCCGAAGTCCGACTTCCTGACTCAGGCTCCCGCGAAATAAAGGTCCCTGGAGTAGAATCACACGTCACCCTGCACCACAGCAGCCCGCGCGACTCTTCTGGCAGACGTGGTGTGGCTATTGCCCTCTCGCAGCAAGCGGACCTCGTGTTACTTGCTTGGGAACCAGTTAATGATCGGATGGCCTCCGTGAGACGGAAGGATCACTTCCCGAACATCTCCATCGTCTCTGTGTACGCACCAACTTCATCTGCCGAACAGCGCGATAAAGAGGCGTTTTACTCACAGCTGCAAGCGGTTGTTGAACGACTCCCTCGACGCGATCTGCTGATTGTCACCGGGGATTGGAATGTTCCGACTGGACCTGGCCACCCCACAAACAGTCATCTTCTTGGCCGTTTTGGGATTGGTTCCCGATGTGAAAATGGCGAGAGATAGTTGGACGTTGCTGATCAGCACGTGCTTCCAGCATCACAAAAAGCATCTGCTGACCTGGTATTCAGACGACGGTCATACGGCCTGTTAGACTGATTACATACTAGTCAGCTCAAGATTCCGCAGCTCTGATCACGATAGCCGATCTATGTGTGGCGCCGAGACTGGTAACGCCCATGAGTCGGACCATGCCCTCGTTCGTACACGATTGAAACTTCATCTCTCATCCACGCCAAAAATGTCACCTCCTAGACGCTCTGATCTTGCAAAAATCAGGCAAACCAGCACTTCTGAGGCCCTGAGTGGAGAAATGCGGTTCTGTGTTAGGACCCGAGCCGACGGAGAAGGCAATAACTTGTGGTCGTCACTGAAAACGTCAGTCTATAGGGCAGCTGAGAAAACCCTTAGATATACCCAGCGACGCTGCAGTGACTGGATTCGCGGAAGAACCCTGCAGTTGTCTGCTCAGACGGCTCGAGCTAGGTCCCGTAATGACGATTCCTTCCGCCAACTTCGGAAGATGACGGCAAAGTCGGCCACGGATGACCGGAGGCAATATTGGGCTAAAATAGCGACCTCCGTGGAACAGGCCTCGGGCGTTGGTGACACTCGAAACCTTTGCCAACTTATCCGCCAGGTTATTGGTAGGCCCTCTACACTGAGTGACCCGGTCCAAGACGTGAATGACGGCTTTATTTCTGACGTCTCGGTCAAAATCGAGCGCTGGCGTGAACACTTCGAGCACCATCCCAACTTCGATACGCAATTCACCTCGCCTTTGTTCTCATCTACAGTGGAGCTGCTTCCCTTTCCAACCTATGCAGTGCCATGCGACCTCCCTTCCGAAGGCGGAGTCGCCGATGCAACAACAAGGCACCAGGAGAGGACGATATACCAGCGGAAATCTGCAAGTCTTGTGTCGACGCCCTGGCGCCCTGGCTCCATGAGGTGATTGAATTAGCGTGGAGAAACGAGGTTGCTCCTGATGACTCAGGCTTAGACATCCTTGTAACTATCCTCAAGAAGGGAGATAAGACGAGATGCGAGAATTATCTCGGCGTAAACCTCGTCGACGTTGCTGTGAAGATCTTTGCTGTTGTCCTACTCAGGCGATTCCAGGTTGTGATTGACTCTAGGGCAAGGCTCAACCAAGCCGGATTTCGTGCTGGACGTGGATGCGCGGACCAGGTATTCACACTAAGGCACATTCTGGGATTTCGCCATAGCTACCGGCAACCGACGGCCGTCGGCATTGTTGACTTTGCCGCCGCATTCGATTCTGTCCACCGTGAGTCCCTATGGCGGATAATGGCACTAGATGATGTACCGCCAAAAATCATCGCCATGGTCAAGGCCTATTATCGTTCCACCACCACGCGAGTCGTGGTCTGCAGCAATCTTTCCAACCGTTTGGCATTCGGTCTGGCGTTCAACAGGGTTGTATCCTGTCACCCATTCTGTTAAACTGCGCTATTGACTGGATTCTCGGGGATGGGGAGGGGGGGCTACACGAAGGTGACGGTGTCGAATTTGCACCCGGACACCGACTGATTGACCCCGACTATGTCGATTATACTACCTAACTTGCTTCAAGTTTTGGTGATCTACAGGCTATGGTGTCACGAGGTCGCTAAATCGGTCGGTTTATCTATAAATTCTAGGAAGACCAAAGTGTTTTCAAGCTGCATCGCTGGCTAGGAGAAGGCATCTCTCGGGATTAATGGCTGCTGACTTTAAGAACTAGACAACTTTAAATGCCCCAGGGCGAGGCAGCTGTCGAATTAGCAGGGGAAGGACAACACTGTCTCCCGATTTGATGCTGCCAGCCGGATATTCTCAAGCCTAAGAAAATGCTTATGGATCCGACGCGACCTCTCCATCGCCAGTAAGATTCGCGTATATCGTGCATCTGCCCGGTGTGTCCTTCTCTATTGTTGTGAATGCTGGGTTTTGCGCGTGGAGGGCGAGCGAAAACTGGAGGCACTTGACCGCCACTGCTTGAGAACCATCCTTCGAGCGAACTTCACCGACTTCGTCTTAAATGGGACAGTCCGCGCTCGCTGCAACAACATCACAAGGATAACTCAGGCCATCCAAGAATGATGACTGAGGTGGTCCGGGCATGTTCGTCGTCGTCCACCTCAGGAGCTCAGTGTTACCGCCCACGATCCGGCACCGTTACCCCATTGGAGGCGTCGAAGAGGGTGTTAACTCAAAATCTGGCTCGACGCGGTTCGTCAAGACATGGAGCCGATTATTGAACCTTCGGTATTCGGTCTCCGTCGTTGGCGAAGAGAATGGTTTGAGCTGCCCAGATCTTCTGCCGTGGATCGTCACGCGTTGAGAGGCACAGTTCGGGACATTATCGATGCCGGCTAGATCAGGTATGATCGCAGCTGTGCCAAGTAAATAAGTAACATTGTCGCCTCTCAGTTTAAGCAATGAGCTCCGCCAGGCATGGCAGTAAAGATCGAGATAGGGCTTCGTACATGGGAGCAAACAAGGCTTCGACGTGGGTGTCCAACGCGCATGGCCAATGTGGGCTCGAGACAAGCTAGGTAGCTTTGCTCTCGTTAATCCTCCTCGGGGTTCTCTTTCCCCGAAGGCAATTTGATGAATCAGACTACCGCTTACGTGCGCTTTCACTGCTGCGGTACTCAATGGCGCGGTTTGGACGTCCTGCAACAGATAATTTATGATCGGCAGGATGCCTGTTCCTATGGTTGGGAAAATTCTAAAACTGGAATTTTTCCAGTGGACGGCTTAGCGAAGTCCCCATCTTGCTATACGCACATGCATGAATCAGTTAAGACTTCGTCGTTTGTACATATTCGAGATAATAAGATTGCACCGCACTTTTATGACAGTGCACCCTAGAGAAGTCACACATTTCTACAATTATCCATGTGGTATGTACAACTATCCAGAACCTGAAAAGTAATGTTTGAGGTTCAGGCTTGGCTTTTGTTGCCCGTGAGACGACTGAATTCTGCTAGGTGCCGGCAACATCAGCAACATGACTGGCTTTCTCAAGCACTGTAGGTGGCATTCTAAGATAATTTCACATTGAGTTAAAAGCATCATATACCTCGATTATTCGTAAAACCAGAGTTCAGGCGCCTCGAAGCTGATGATCTATCGGAAGAAGGCAACCTGAAGAAGGAGTTCCATCAGCAGAAACAGGACTGTTAGTATGCAATGCTTCCAACGTGTACAGTTTGTAACACTGGTGCTACAGAGTAACCTATGAACCAACAACATCGGAACTGTACTAGTACGACCACAATTTCCGAGCGTGATGGAAGACAGGTGGTCAACTGTTGGTTTGGAGCCAAGAACCACTCTGAGCTGGGCTTGTGGTCGAAGGAGAAATCGGCACCTCGAATCATTCGGAAACACTTCTACTAGGCAGTCACTACAGTCTCCTTGAAATGGATTTCAGTGTCTCGCCTGTGGTTGTACTCTGAATAAACCAGAAAAACAAACATTGTGCGGTACACAATTTACTGGTCGCAATTGTCCACGTGAATGACTGCCACTCCCATCAGTCATAGGCGACATTGGTGCCCTGATAGAAAGCCTACAAGAGCTTGGCTCTCGTCATTTCACATGCACAGTTCCCAAAGAGGGAATGTCTTGAGGAAAATTAGCCCGCTTCAGACTACTCTAAATATAATGGACACAAATTTCGGCTTCCCCTTCCAGACGAAGAAACTAAAACGAACATGGTGC